GTCAAAGAGTTTTTCCCCAAACAAAAGATCATCATTAAAGATGGAGGATTCAGTATGACCAAATAAAAATATAAAATCAGGTAGTAATTAAACTAAAATCGTGTTCGTCTAAAAAAACATATAAATAGAGTTATTCATGCTGTTAAAAAAAATAGAGTTATTCATCAAAAACAAGAACATTATAATCTTCTTTTTTTCTACAGAAATAAAACTAAGCAAATTACAATGGACATAAAAAAAACTTCAATCATTTTTTTTTTGGTAATAACACTAACAATTTCATTGTACAACTTCAACGTTTCCGCCGTGTTAGGTATGATAATTCTTACAAAGATATTTTTTTATTAATTTATTAGCTTTTGAATTGTCTTTCAACAATTTGAGAACTTTACATTTCTTTAATATAGAAACGGTAATAGCCATTTACATCTATGCAGAGCCGGTCCTAATTTTTCTAGGGCCCAAAGCAAAAAAAAATTTTTTGGTCCCTTAACTATTAATTAAAAAATAAAATAAAAACACTTGGTACTAGGTGAGAATTGAACTGGTGACCTACCAATTACTCATATACAGACTTGACCAGCGGAGCTACTAAAGATTTTTGTAAAATCAACGACCCCTAAAATTAATAAAGTCTTCGCCGGCCCCAAGCAGATGCTTCACTAGCTTCTAGCCAGGGCCGGCTCTGCATGTATGTGTCTATATGATCTTAATAACATGGGTTGTTTATATGCAGTGAGTAATGCAAAGAAATATGGAGAATGCTTGCATGATAAATGTGTTATGGGAACGTACGACAGTGATGAATGCCTCGTTGATTGTGTTTTTGAGCCGGCGTTTAAGAAGATGGGGTACGTTGGAGGAGAATGTGTTATTAAAAAATCTGCAAACAAAGGAGATTGTTGTTGCATCTTACCATAGAAATCGATCTTGTTGCTAGTAATTGGAGATTTTGAGCGATGAATTACGTTTTTTTAGTTTCATGTTTCAAATTAAAACAACAATCCTTTGATTGCACGGATTATAGTGTTCCACATACAATAGGTTCTTGTGATTGATACTTAATAATACCATATAATAAGACGCCACATGTGTTTAGTTAAAAATTATACATATTATGTGAAAAAACACTTTTTACATATTTAATCATGCC